TACCACACCCCCCAAAAATGTGTTCTCAATTCAAGAATCGTGCTTAAAATTTTGAGATCAATTTCTTGTTTTAAGAATCAATTATGACTTAAAACAAGAAATTGGTCTCAAAATTCTAAGTACAATTCTAGAATTAAGAACACATTTTTTTGGGGTGCAGGAGGCCGCAGGGTGTTATGTAGTCACAACTACTCGTCTTCACACATTTTCTGTGGCTGTTGTTTAACGTAGGAGCGTACCACATGTTGATCATGCTGCACCTAACTTGTTGAGAATGACACTCACACTGTAAAAAAAAATTTAAGAGAATCCCAGTTTTGGGTGGTGAAACGCTCGATTCTCACTTTTGTCGTGGGATTTTGCTGATCCATGGGTGGATAAATTTCTTAACCCACGGGTTGGGAAAATCCTCAACCCAGAGGGCTTGTGATTGACAGAATAGTATCCACGTAAGAATTTTCAAGTTGTGGGTTGGAACATCGTTCCGTAACCGACAACTTGAAAATTCAAGTTGTGGGTTAGGGAACGCACCTGGTCCCATAAGGGCCACATTGAGCTACTAAAAAAAAAGGCCCGAGAGGGAGTCGAACATGGACCTACGGGTTGCTTCTCGTGCACGTTACCCCTCCGCTACGCAGCGGGAGGTGGAGAGAGAGCGTCAGCTAGCCCTCTTAAGCGAAGGGGCGCGCGAGCGGAGCTCCCCAAATCCCAGTTGTGGGTTAGGAAACACTATTTCCATGTATGGGTTGGGAAATTCTGGTTTGTAGTTGCAGGATTGTCAACCCGACACTAAAATTCAAGTTGTGGGTCTGTTAATGACAAACCTCTTATCCAATTCGGAATTTTTCGTTTCCAGGCATGAATTTTCTGCCTTCGCACCAAAATTTCATAAGTCCACATAGACTTGAAAATTCAAATCCTCGAAAGGGATTGGCCATTGCAAACCCACTGGGTTGGGAATTGAAAATCCCAGTTGCCGCTGGGAAATCATACACCCACTGGGCTAGGAAAATTCTTAATATTTTTTACAGTGCACTCACTCACTCACTCACTCACTCACTCACTCACTCACTCACTCACTCACTCACTCACTCACTCACTCACTCACTCACTCACTCAGGGAAAGGAAGCGAGTTGGGATGATGAGAGCAAATAAGACAGGCGGGTGACGGCCCAGCGCCTCTGCGTAGTTAAGCCCTCCTCAGTTACGCCCGGGCGGAGGCAGCCAGGACTTGCCAGGAGGAGGACAGACCTGGTTGCGAGCGGGGGGCCGGGCCGGGCCAGGGCAGGCAGTGCCGCAGTCACTGAGATGGGGATGCCGACCTTTTGCCTAACAAGCGAGCAAATTAGGTGTCTAATGCGTTGGCGATCCACGGGCGCGTCTGGCACGGCTCAGGCATCCCGGGCAGGGCGCAGCCGCGGGCCGGGTCGTCAGGCTGTCGCCAAGCTCATTGTCAGCCCTGCGTTCTCGCCTAGTACCTTGTGAGTGATCCTACATCGTCAACTCAAAAACCTTAATACCGTTTTTAGCAGATGATACCTTAAAACATTTACACTAACAAGGGAACCTTTTCAGGTGTAAATCCCCGATTTTGTTGGTACTCGGAAAATTTAATGGTTTTTGTAATCGAAGTCGGATGGCATTTGAAATTTTCCTAAACTTAACATTCCAAATATCCCTCTATGCTTAAACGGTTCAAAATAGAGCAAAACGGACAAAATTTTGGCCCAAAGGGTACTACTCTGACGAGTGACCCCTTCTAACACTGCTTTACATTTGATCAAAGAATATCTTTTTCTAACACCTTACTCCTACCCTACAGGGTGGTCCACAGACTCCTTCCTTTATTTTGCTTATACTGTACCGGATGCAGGCGTGCGGACGGGTTGCATACTCGCACGGGGCTATAAGGTGAGCGACAGTAGGCAAGCCCGCCCGCACGCGGCGCCGTGGACAGCGGCGATAGGCAAGCCCGCACCGGCGCGAGGAACACAGTCTAACTGCAGAAGCGAGCGGGGTCAACCAGCCACCTGGTGAAATATCAGCCAGTTATTAATTAGACCCTGCAATAAAACATTTCTGATAAATATGGGATAAAATATGTTCGATTACCACTCGACGCCACTCAACGTTTACATTTCTATATCGCTTTCACCATTGACTCTCAACTGAGTTTATTTAAACATTTTCAAAAGGCCAGAAAAGAGCAAGAAAGCTGCTTTC